TCAAGTCCCAGCTGCTTGGCAGGTGTGGTGTAACCCTGATGGCATCACTTGTCCTGTGCAGATCTTTCCCCACATTCATGCTCGTGTATGACCCACACTGTGGTGGGTAAAATGGAACTTGGCCTTGCTAGTCTGAACATCTGCTGTGCTCCTCCTTATTACCTGTTTCTTCAAGCAGCAGCTTTAAGTTGAGGATTTCTCTGGTCCTGAGTAATTAAGGCACTGAAAGGCCAAATCTTTGCCATAGCTGTCAGCTGCAAAATAAGAGGAGAATTAACCACCTGGAGACCAGTCCTGAAGGGATTGATCTCCTCATTGCAGCGAGCTAACAAACTTCCCACTTCTGATGACTCAGGAACAGGTAAGATTTAAGTCTGCCAATAAAATACCAAATGACTTCCCAACTCTAAAATGCTCTGTGCCAAGAGTTCACAGCCTGCTTTGGTGTTTTCTCAGAATTCTGTGCATCTGTCATGTTCATGACTTTGTTAGATGTAGAGGTTCCCAGTATTTTTGATAAATGTTTCATGTAGGTGAAAGTATCTCATTAGAGAAAGCCCAGAAATCCAAAGCAGGTCATTGTTGCACTGGAGTATTTCAAGCTCTGTCTCATCTGCTCTGTCACTCCTCTGTGCACCAAAAACCTCCTTAAATAAATGTTTTCTTCCTCTGAGCTGCCAAGGATCCTGCCCACTCCCAAAATGGACAGTTTTCACGGTGCTGAGCACCTCTCAGAATGTGTGCAGATTCTCTTCAACACGAGGAATCACTTTGCTTTTGTGGGATACAGGGACAGGGAAGGGGCCCGTGCTGCCAGGACAGGTGGGGACAGGAATGCTGCTGAAGGCCCTGTGCCACAGACCTGTTCCTACATGGGCACCCCCATCCCTGAGCTCTGTCATGGCAGTTCCTTCACATTCCCCATGGTATGAGGCAGCTCTGGGATCACAGAAAGTCCAGTCTTAACTTAGAAAATCCCTGGGCACACCAGTCTGGAGAGAAATGTAGTTAATGATGTCAGGAAAAGAGACTTGCAACCCTTTCCAGGGAAAATGGGGCAGATATTGCTCTGATGTACCAAGTCCATGTCCTGGCATAGCAAGCAGCATCCCTGTGGAGCATCTGAATTTACTGCAGACTTTTTCAAGGCAACACCAATTATTTAATGCAGCCTGGACATCCTGGGAGGAGGAAAATATCCTTAAAGAAACAGGTTTACTTCCTCTTATTAGAAAGTGTTCCTCATGCCATTTAGCACAGTGTAAATGGTTCTGCTCCCCTCCAAGCCCAGTAAATTGTTTACTTTATAAAATCTCTCATTTTTGCTTTCTCAGCTCCATTTGCATTCATATTCCATTTTTTTAGAAAATTAAAGAAACCTTTCACATTCATACTCACTTCAGAGTGGGCAGATCCCAGACCATTGTGGGGTTACAGGGAATACTGTGTTAAAGAACTGTACTGAAATGATCAGCCAGGGACAACCTGGCTTGTATCAAACTGGTAATCATGAAAATCAGATGTTTGTGCCAGAAATGCCCTTTCATGTAGCAGGATTTGTGCCCAAGTGGCAATGTCAGAAATTTAGAGAAGCCAGTTGCAGAGGAATTGAGATTCATGACTCAGCAAGGAGAGAGATGAAATGAAACAGTGATTTCAGAGCTGTTGTTACCATTACACTGTGTAATTAATAAATCAGTTAATTTACCTGCCCAGACTGTTCAGGAGAGACAGAACATGGAATCCAGATGCCTTCCTTGGGCTTCAGCCCACCTTGGCATCTGCTGAATCCATGACCTGTTCCCTATTCCAAAGCACACACTGTGCACCTCCCAAGACAGTAATGAAGTTTCCCTTTGTCCCTGTGCTGTCTCCTGCACTCAGATGGAGGCTCAGTGGGGATTTGGGGTTGGGATGGTGCCCATTGCAGCTGCACTGTTGGTTCTCTGGAAAGCAGGAGCTGTCTCCTCCAGCTGGACTCCATCCAAGCTGCTGCCAGCTCTGCTCTGAAAATGCCTCAGGCTCAGCTTTATCCACCAAAGTCATCCCTCGTGGTCTGAGCTCTGTGCTCACTGTGAGGGAGGAGATGGGAATTTTCACAGTCAGGTTGCTGTCAAGGACTTGTGATTAGACTGCAGAGCAGCAATGGGGCTTCCTTCTGGATTTGCCACCCCCACATTCTGCATACATGTTTGGGAGATTTTTGCCACCTCCCAGCTGGAGGAACAAAGGAAGGGATCCCACACATGACTCGGTGCTGCAGAGCTGGCACCAGCCACACACAGCCCCCGCAGTTTGTTACTCATGTTAGAGAGAAGAACACCAAAATTATTCTTGATTGGGTCTTGCCAAATCACAGTTGGCCAGCTCAGGATGCTGTCACTGCGAGGAGTCTGGAAAACCCAAAATTGGCAGTGCAGAGCAGAGCATTTGGCAAATGGTGTGTCATTCTTGGAGCCTAGGTCTGTAATTATGTCCTGTGCCCTCTTGAGAGGAGATGCCAAAGTTGCAGCCTTAGCAGGTGGTTTGTGACCAAATGGAACAAAACAACAGAGAACAGTGACTGCTAACAGCAAAAACAAATATGTGGACCCTGATAAAATCCTTGAGTTAAGAGATGAAGACATTGGGGAGGGACTATGGAACCTGGATGAGGATGCCCAGCAGGCTTGGTGGAAAGAATTATACCTTGACAGGGAGGAAAGGCATTTTTTTTTCTAAATGGTACATTTACAGAATGTGTTTGGTTAAAAATGAAAAATACAGCAGATTTAATAACAACATGATTTGTTGATATAAAAGGTCAACACAATGCATTAGAAGGGAAGGTGTGGGACAAACTGCATTGGGAGATTTATTTGCTGGAGACTTGACACTTTCAAAGCTGCTTTTTAGCCTAGAATGTCATGTCATCCATGGAGAAAGCAATCAGGAGAGGCTTTTCATCCTCTGCTGCTGACTGGTCATGTCAATTTGTCAAGTGATTTATTGTCTGGTCCTTTTAGAGAATAATTGTATCCATTCCCAAAAATGAAAAGTGGTTTAGAATGTCTAGATTTCTGCTTTAGAATATCCTCAATTCTGGCTATTGCAGCCTGACAGAGACATTGACTCGATGCCAAATTCTGGTTCATAATGAAGAGTAAGGGAAATGTTTGGAATTAAGGTGTCTGGATACAAAAGGGAATTAATAACCAACTGATGTCCCTGTCTCCTGGGTGCAGAGCACATTCTGCTGCTTTCCTGTGGGTGCATTCTTTTCACATTCAAGTCTTGTTGCTGTTTTTAAATATATCTCTCAGACTAATGGTCACTTTATTTGCATTCAGTCCCACATGAGAATTGTTTGTTTTCCTTCATGTGTTTTACACTGTGGATAAAGTTCCTTTTTTGAGAGGACTAGAACTGTTCTATATCCCAAGCACTGAAATTTTCTCCTCATCCTTCCTAGGGCAGGGAATGAAACAGAGAAATTAGGCTAAAACGTTTCAGTTCTTTCTGTAGTTACACTCTTCCAGTGTTAATTCACTCCCTGTTATTTGAGAGGGCTCCATCCTCTGTAGTGTCACCTCCAGCACTGGGCTGGCAGCTCCTCCTTTCCATCCCTGCACAGGAGCCAGGCTGAGCTGTGAGAGGGACACAAAGGGGTCCCTGCTAAAACACACCCAGTGAGCTGTTCCTTGGAGTCCCCATGAGCATCATCCTTCTGGGACCTTGTGCTGTGCTTGGCTCTGCTGAGGCACCTCCTCACACACATTTTCCTTCCAGAGTGGGCATTGGTGATTTCTCCTGCATGTGACAGTTCTTCTTTTCACTGTCAAGGCTTAAGCATCGAATGTCAGAACTTGCTTGTAGGTTGTGTTTGACTCCAGCTTTTCCATTTCCAGGAATGTGGCAGTTTAGGAGTTGCTGCACAAGCTTTGACTATTTCTGGAGCTGATTGGTGTGTGTGCACAGCAGTAGGATTTTATGTTGCAAATTCCCTGCAGTCTTTTGGTATAAACTAGTGTTTGTCCCCCAATGAAAGGTCATGGATAAAAACAGAGCTGGACATTTAAATACCCGATGCCTTGAGACCCACCCCAACTGCTGCTATTTCTCTGTTAGATTTATGGAGAGTAAAGTTGGTTTTTTGGCAGTAAATACTAAAATGTGATAGTTTTAGCTACAGACATGCATTACATTTTACTGAGTTGTAGAAAAAGCTTTTCATAGCAAACTAAATAGTGCCTCTGCATGTCTCTGCTTTGTGTAGGTATAAATAATTTCTGTTTACTTTCATGTAATAATGCTTTTTGGTTGTCAGAAGGTGCAGATTGTCTTAATCCATACATTTGGTGGTGTGCAGTGTGAGTACAGCCCTGTGTCTGAGCCTGAGTCTTGCACACAAATACACTTCAAGCTTGGGAGGCTGGAAGAAGGAATGAGCCCCATACCTCAGACATGGGCATAAACCCCCCATGTTCAAATTCTGTCTCCCCAAATCAGAATGGGATCTCTGATTGTTCTTTGGAAAACATTTTTCCCCTTCCCACTCAGTACACAGAAATGGAATTTAACACCTCCCTTTGCTGAAAGGTAGGTCAGGTGTGGGAGTAAGCAGGACCTGGTAGGAATTGTAGAAGATTGATCACTCCCTCACTCATGGCCCTGCTGGCTCCCCAGGGTGTTTGGGCAGTACAGCAAGGTCAGACACCCACAGATGCTGTCACTGACACAGCCTGGGAGAACATGGAAAGGGTGTGGGAATAATATTAGATGAGGCCAGAAGAGTGACAGTGAGAGGAGAACCCCTGCCGAGCCTCAGAGCATAAATTGCCCAGGCTCCTGTGTGGAAGGCTGAAGGGTGTGAGGGACATTCAGCTTCTGCTGAACATACTGTTCCATTTTAAACCTCACACATGTTTGGTGGGTGGTTGTTTCAGGAATCGTGTTCCCTTCACTATTCTGGTGTTTCTTTTCCATCTAAGTGACGAATTTCTTTGCCCTCTCTCTCTCAGATCTCCGACCTGATCCGACAAAGCACAAAGGAGTCCCCAGTGTGGGAGTTCCTCAGCCTGGGTTATGCACTCATGCTCTGCCCGTTTGTCGTTGTCCTGGGAGGGATGTTCTTCCTGGCCACAGCCCTCTTCTTCCTCAGTGACCGAGCCAAAGCTGAGCAACAGTGAGTAGCCTGGCATTGGGAACGGGGAGGCACCACAGCCTGTTTGCTCTCTTGAACATTATGCTTGTACTCTTCCCCTGGCTTTGGCCCTTCCAGGTAAAGGATGTTGGGTTGTGTGTTAAGAACCTGGGCTCAGCAGAGTGCATGAGGCTGCACGAAGCACCGGGGCTTGGGTCATGCTGGCTGGGCATCCTTTACACGCTTCTGCTCTGGTGGATCTCAGTTGTTGGCCACATGGCTCCGAGGAGAGCACAGGCCCCTTACAGCCTTGCCTGAGCATGTCACAGCCCAGGCTGTCCGTGGTGAGGGGCTGCTGGGTGCTGGAGCTGGTGGAGTGTGAGGTGAGGAGCAGGAGGTGCTTCCCAGAGCTTGGTGGTCAAGGCTGCACCCGCCCGCCTCCATCCCCAGAGCCCCGCTGACACCTCTGGCACTCAAGGACACGAGGCAAGGAGGAAGCAAGCTGTGTGTGGGAACATGTGCACTCAGGGGTTGCTATGATAAAGAGTCTTTCCCAGTCCCTTCTTGCAGCTTCATGAAAAAAAAAGCTACTGTTTTTCAGTAAAGAAACCGATTCGGATCATCTCACGGTTGGCAACTACAGTAATTCAGAAGACGCTTCCACATGACATACAAACTCCTGGGGTTAGTTTCTTTCTCATAATTGTTGAAAAATAAGAGTTACTGTGTGTAATGTCATGCTGAATATGTGGGTAGGTGACTAGTCTGGTGTTGACTGTAAGTTGCCTTTGCTTTTCCCCCTCTGGAGAATGGCAGCCTTGATTGACCTTAAGGAGAAGGGCCCTGGGATATCACTCTAGGTGTAGTACACATAGAAGGAAAATCGGGTGTTTGGAGTTGACATAAGTGTGGGAACAGTTTGGGTGATACTTTCTGGCTCACACTGTCTTATCACATGGATGAAAGAGATTTGGAAGCAGTGCCACAGATGGTGCTGTGGCCCTGTAAGTGCAATTCCACCATCTTTTTACTAGCATACATAAATATCAAAAAAAGGAGAAGTTCCTCTATAATGAGATTTTAAACATTGTGGAAAAACAAGACCTCATGTCATAAGGATGGGAAGTCCTACAGAGTTGAACTTCAGTGTGGCTTTGGGGACACAGTGACATGTGTTTGTTATCTGCATAGAAGGGTCTTAAATGGCAGGAAGGGAAGTTGGGCATTAGATGGTAGGAAGAACTTCCTAAGAGAAAAAAGCAGTAAATCTTACAGCAGATTATTTGGAGAAGACATGAAAGCTTGTTTCTGATGGCCTCCCCAGCATGGCATGAGGCAGGAAGGTGAGATCTGCTCTCCAGCTTATGGATCTGCTCTCCAGCTTATGGATCTGCTCCTCAGCCCTCTTTTGTGCTTGTGCTGTGCTTGTGCACATAAGCTGTACATGCCAGCCCAGGCAGTGACCTGGAGACATGGCAAGATGAACATAAATTTCTGGGTGCTCAGGGTGGCTTTTTTGCTGCAGGAAGCCAAAAGTCCTATTTGGTGTCAGTGCAGCAGATGAAACCCCCTCTGCAGCATTTTCCTTTGCTCAGGGTGCTCACCTGATTGTGGGAAAGCTTCAGGACTTGTCTTTCCTGTGTTCAGAGAGGAGAGTGCTTGTTCCACTTCTAACTGTGGTGATTTGTGTCCCTTTGCATCACACTTGCAGCCAGTGTGGCATGATAGCACCTCGGGTGGTGAAGGAGGGGCTCAGGATTCAGATAGTGATGAGTTCCAGGTCACTCCCATTTTTTCACCATGTCAAGCCCACCTGGACCTTTATGCTGAGCAGGGCACTGTGGTATCCAGCTGTTCTCAGCCCAGATCTCAAGGAAGATGGTTTTGGTTCACTCAGGAGACACCACAGGTCACAGCTGGGTGACTCTGCTTGGCTGCCAGCACTGGTGTGTCTTACACAGTTGTTTTGCAAAGCCCCAGCTTTTGCAGCAGGGTTAATGTGGGAGGGAGATCACATCCACACCTCTAATTGCTCCTGCACAAAAGGGATTATTCCTCTGTTGCTGTCTACCCTGAGCAGCTCTGGTTGAACTCTATCCACGTCCAGAGCAACCAGCCTCCCAAACAGCCACTGCTCCATTCTTAGAAGAAAAACATTCAGGTGTCAAACCTGGTTTTGTTTCTCTTTTAGCATCATTCCCTTTCCTAACTCACATTTGTTTATGAATCTTGTGTTAGTCAGTCACAGATATTTTGTGTTGCAAACTGGAAAGAGCAATTGTCATAAATAATGGTTAACAAAATAATTTCTCTCAGGTTACTCCTAGGAAGGGTGCTCTTTCTGAGGTGTGCCCACTCCTTTGTTAAAAATACACTGGCATCCTGCAGTGAGATTCCTGGAGTGCAGCTTCACTCAAGTTGCAGAGGAGTGAGAGTGAAGTAAGAGAGAAGTAAGGCTGGAGAGGGATCCTGTGCAGCAGGCTCTGTGCTGTCCACCAGGTCCTGTCTGCCCCCACTGGCAGCTTCAATGGCTCCTCAGAATTTATGGGGCAGGATTTATTTGTTGGTACCTCCATGCTTGCCCGTGAGAGGAAAGGTAACAGAGCATTTGCTATTAGCAGATAAAAACTCCATGCTGGAGCCCAGATCCACGGTCCAGCTCCCACCTGTCAGGCCACCTGCACTTGGCATCACACACCTTTGGCAGAGGCTGTTTTCTGCCCAGCCAGTCCTCCCTTCCATCCCACCCATTACTTGCTGGGTACAGAGGAATTTCTATTTCAGGATGCCTTGTTTTCCCTCTGCAGTCAGTCCTGCTGCTCAGACAACAGGAGTTGGAAATGGGCTGTGCCAAAAGAAATCAATTAACCTGCGGGAATCACGAGCACCGGTGTCACACGCCAGAGATTAAACCCATCCATCAGTGCCAGGGTCAGGGCACAGGGCAGCTGTCACCACCCCTCCACTGAGCTAATATGGAAGCAGAGAGGTGGAACACTGCTCTCACAGCCTATGGAAACTGAGCTGTCCCTGCTTTAATTCCCACACTTCTCTGAAATGTGCTTCAGGGATTTATTGCTGGGATTTCTGTGTTTGTTTCTTTGTGTAACCGTCTCTGGGCATGTGCTTAGAAATAATTTCTTCTTCCAGGCAGGGCAGATACCAGGATAGCAAATCTTTTCCTGTAAAGCTTCCTCCAGTTTCCTCCACGCTTCCTGTCAAAAAAGAATTTCCAGGCTTTCACACTACTTTTATCATTGCCACAATTCCTGACATATTTTGGACTTTTTTAGCACAGGAATTCCAGTCAACAAGGCTGCTCACAAAACACTAATGAAAACAATTCTTTCTATAGCAATTTTTTTCTTAAAACACAATTCTTTTATTACCATTTTCATGCTGCTTCAGAAGTCTAAAGTCTGACAGCTTAAAGAGGCTTTTAGAAAATGTAGTACTAGCAGAGCACAGGATGGAGTACATCTCTCTGTGCTAATAATCCAATCGTTTTGGGGACTAGTTCTATAACACAAATTTAATCCCACCATTCCAAAGTGATAAGAGAGAGAAAACAGTTAAGAATGGGTTCTGTAAGGGATCTTAGGCACTAGTAATGATAAATACTTCAATTGTTCTTTAAACCACTCAACTACAATTCCTTCTGTGATATCACCTGACTATGTTGTTGTTTCTTTCCTTCACTGCACCTCTGCAGAGGAGGGTTAAAGCAGTTGTATTTTATTTCCAAACATCAGCACTCTGAACTGTTAATTCTCTTACCTGCTTGAGGAATATTGGTGAGGCCCAAGCAAGATTTTAGACTGTCTGGAAGACAACACAGTCTTGCCATGGCAGAGCCCTCTGAAATGGATCAGAAATTTGATAATTGCACTTTAATCCTCAAGCTCCATCACGGGTGCCCGTGCAGCCCTGCCAAAGAGCCCTTTCCAAGGCTGGGAGCAGTCCAGGTTCTTCAGTCCATGGAAGGAAAAGCTCAGCACTGCTGAGAGTTGTGTCTGTGGTTTGTGCTCATCCCCTCCCTCACTCACAGTGCACAGGACTGGGACAAACAAAGCCTCACCCTGGAGGGCTGCAGAATTTGGTACTTGCTGGAAGCTCCATTAATAATTAGGAAAAGTGTGGTTTTTTTATTATGAAAAGGGATTTCCGAGCTGTGACAACTGTTGGGTGCCTGGGATATAAATCACCATAATTAGTGTGTACCAGGATCCTTTCCTGGGCAGTGAGTGCAGTGATCCTGCAGCCCTGTCCCCAGCCATGGCCACTCCCAGCTGCTGCTGAGGGAAAACCAAATTCACCTGGATTCTTCCTGAAAAATCACCCTGTGCAGGTGAGGGATGCTCTACTCCTCAAAGGATTTTATAGTTTTTAACTTATTTTTTTTAACTTAATCCCTGGTTTTACACTTGGAAACATCCTATTTTCTGTTTTTGTCCAGAGGTATAAAAGATGCTTAGGATGGGTGTCCAAGTTTTATAGTGGCTCAGTCCCTCTCTGCATGCTAGAGGCTGGATTTTTTTGGCAAGGATACAGCAATGCAGATCAGGCAGTAGGATGCAACTGCAGTGTGGATCCCTGGTGCAGCCAGAGCAGGAATAAACGGCTGAGCTGCACTGATGCAGCTGCTCAGAACAAAAGAATTTCAGTCTTTAACCAGTGACCACTCAGCACCTGAGAGCCTGCAAGCCTGAATGGTTCACCCCTTTGTTTGCATAGTAAGAATCAGGTTATTTAAACAACTTGAGCAGATATTTATTTTCTCCTAAAATGAAAATTAAACATTTAATAATAAGAAAAATTTACTCTTAAAACCTTTGATCAGATGTAGAAGCTCTTGCTGAGTAGAAGTGCTGGTGGACATTTCATTTTAAAAGTGGTATGTACAAACACTAGAAAAAAAATACTCTTTACAGAGGAGATAGAAAATCCACAAAAAGAACCATCCCTAGTCCAGACACTTCTGCTGTCTTAAACATGGCACATCTTCAAATTGCATTACAGGACAAATGAGAATAATCCATTTTCAGGCTCTTTCTTCTGCCTCATATCAGTCTTATTTTTAGCCTTTTGCAGAACTGGATATAAAATTATCTCCCAGTTCTCCTATTGCAGCAATTTGAAAGTGTCTGACCTTATTTTTGCTTTGCAGATTCTATTATGTGGGGCAGGAGAAGGACTTACAGAGCTGTCAGCCCTCTCTTTCTCTCATTTTTCTGTGGCAGCAGTTGCAGGCAGGAAGGACCCACCAGGTGACCTGCTGTTGTTGCCAGCAAAGCCCAGAGTCCCCCCATTAACCATTCCCCAGGTATTAAAGTGGCAGCTGACTGATGCTGAGTGTGCTCCATTCTGGGAGTCTGCATTGCCAAAAAGAACATTCCTTCTCTGAAATAGCTGGAGCTGCATCACAGGGGGTTTGAGAGGCTGGGCACTTATTTTAGAGAGATGTGTCAGTGCTGCATTGAGGCTGAGTTTGGATTTGAGGATTTCAGGAGCTGCAAGTGGATTTTAACAACTCCCAAAAAGGGATATTTGAAAACAGTTTGCTCACTGCTAATACTCAGCTGCTTATGGGGAGGAATATCATTGCTTCATTTGTTTGGACTTTACAAAAGAACAAAAATTAAACATTTGCTACAGCAGTAGAAACTCACAGTGCTTTTTTAGCCCAGATAAGATAGCCTTGGTCTTTGAAGCCACATGAATTTACAGCAAAAAGCCTGGATTAAAATGCAGAGGATCTGTGGTGATGGAAAGAGAGAGGCAAGGAGTGAGTTTTGAGTATCTGAGAGTGGCATGATAAAAACTCACAGACTGCAGATGGAACAAGATTAGACTATTAGATGGTTTATATGGAATCCCTGTTAAGATTGTGAAGAGGAGAGGTGGTGAAAATGTTAGCAGTTCTATTCTTGGTTGAAAAAGCTCCTTGTAGAGTTGTTGGTTTTCTCACCTGTTTACTGGCCATGTTTGTAACTCCATAAACAGAGTCAGCAAAACCAAGAATGTAACAGCTTGGGCCCTGAATTTTGAATGCTGGTTTGCTGCTGCAGTTGGGAGCTGCTGGTGTCATGCAGATGGAAAATGGTGTCAACTAAAACAATTGCTGATCTGTCGTGTCACTTTAGTCAGCCTGCAGATTTCCTGCAGGTCGGGTGGGGAGGTGTGCAAGGTCAGTGTGGTTGTTCACAGGCACTTTGAGCTCAGCTGTGGTCCTTGCACAGTGTTTGAAATGTGCTGTTGGCAGCAGGAGCTTTGCTCTAGCCCAGCCAGAAGCTTGGGGGCAGCTGGTGCTGGCAGAGGGGGCTGCAGGCAGAGCTCTGGGTTCTCCAGAACCACCCATTCCCCACCAGGCTGACCTTCCCAAGTTCATCCCCTGTGGCACAGAGAAAGGAAAACAATACTCCTACACTATTCCCATCTACTCAGTGCTCTCCCACAGCAGGAATGGAATTTCTCCATGTGCCTTATGCCATAGGAAAGCCAAAGGTCACTTTTCCAAGAGCTCCAGATCAAGAGCAACTTGGGAGTCTTCCTGCTGTCTTGGCTACTGACTCTGTGCTGTGAGCCCCAAGAAGGCAGATGTTGTCCCTAAAATGCTCATCAGCTGTAAAACAGGATTGAAGGCACTTTCCCACAATGTACAAGGGGCACTGAAATCATATGCCACCAATGGACTCAGCATGTCAATTGGTGTTGGCATTGCAAAGGAGAATTCTTGGCATAGAGGGACTTTGCCATGCAGGAGGAGATTTTAAATTCTCACTCAGACAGATTCTTTGGTAAGGCTGCCCTGGCACAGAGACAAAATCTGATCAGATCCCACACAGGTGACTGGAGCACTGAGCAGAAGGCAGCAGCTTTCCAAGCAAGAAACAATCTCTGACACAAGGAAAAAGAAGAAATCATGAAAAATTCAGCTCTGCTGTTTCCTGATGTCAGAGCATTTTGCAAAGGCATTGGTTTTTATGAGCAGAATGACCTCTCCTTGTGCAGTAATCTGCAAGGCAGATACTGTGGCTGTGTTAAAGCAATTTACTTGTGGTTGGGTCCTTGACCTGGGCCAGGCTTTAACCCCAGCCAGTCCCTCACAGCCCCCTGCCCCACCAGCACACTGGGGAGAATGGGAAGGGTAAGAGCTGAAAAACTTGTGGGTTGAGTACAGTTTAATAGGGAAAGTAAAAGCTGCACCACAAACAAAACAAAACAAAACAAACCAAGGAATTCATTCTCCACTTGCCATGGCAGGTGGGTGTTCAGCCATCCCCCAGGACAGCAGGGCCCCTTTACACACAGGTTACCTGCAAGGACAAACACCTTCACTCCAAACGTGCTCCCTTCTTCATTCTTCCCCCGACTTTATATACTGAGCACAGCATCATGAGGTGTGCAATATGGGTTTGGCTCTCCTGTCCTGGCTGCATCTCCTCCCAGCTTTCATGGACACCCAATTCCTCACCAGCAGAAAAGGCCTTGGCTCTGTGCAAGCCCTGTTCAGGAATAACAGAAACATCTCTGGATTATCACCCATGTTCAGCACTAATCCAGAACACAACCCTGCTCCAGATGATGGGAGAAAAATTCAATTAAATCTGCTCCAGCCAAACCCAGCACAGCCTGAATGACATCTTTTAGAGAAACAGGGACAAACTATTGGAGTACCACCTCCAGTGCTCCAGTAAGGAGTGTCTTAAGTGCTCTGGCTTGGTCATTCCCAAAGTTTCTGCCTGACCTCTACAATTCACACAGGGATTGCCAGCACTGTTACAGTGCAGTGAAATCAATGGATGGGGGTTTCCTTGAGGCCTCCAGGCCATGTTGGACAGGGCTTGGAGCAACCTGGTCTGCTGGAATATACCCCAGCCCATGGCAAGGGGTTGGAATGAGATGGTCTTCAAGGTCCCTTCCAACACAACCCCTTCCATGGTTCTGTTATTTCCCACACCTGGTAGCTCAGAGGCTGGTGAAAAGAGCTGTAGCATGAGGCAGTTATTTTGGAGGATAAGAGGTATGTTTTTAATCAAGTGCCATCAGGAAGTTCTACAGGATTTTTCTATTTTAAGATTTAATTCGTTCTTATCTGCTTTTTATGTCATGTTTTCTCCCGCTTGCCATCCAATCATTCAATCAAAAGTGAGGCACTCCACTGCCTCTTTTCTCCATTATTTCAGTGGATGTAAGTGTATGTTGTTACACACATCTTCTGTGGCACTAAAAATCCCTCCACCCCAATACTGAGCAGAATATCTGGCAGAACTATACTTACAGACTCAGGCACAAAGTTTCTCAGACCTGCATCTTCACAGACTGCAGGGGTCCATGTCAGTGCCCCCACAGAGCTCTGGAGCTCATTTCCATCCAGGTCCTTGGGAGCCTGACTGCTGCTGTTATCTGCTCATCTTCACATCTGCTCTGCTGCAGCTGTCTGGGAAAATAGCAGGAAAAGTTGATTTTTCCTTTATGCCAGTTTTCTCCTCAGTAAAGATGTGTGAAAGAGGAAAAAATGAAGCTGACCTATGTTTCTGCCTCTGGAGACAAATCAGCACCTGGATTAAATGAACAGATGGAAAATACTCACAGGCTGTGCAGCTTTAAGGGGCTGAACCAAATAGAGGAGAAAATATATTTGCTGTACATGATTATCATATTTTGTTTGCTAAACCCACTGACATGCAGGAAGAAAAGGGGATTTGAGCCAATTTTTTTTTCCAGTGCAGCTGGAGGAGCCTGTCCCCACACTGCCAGAGCAATGCAGAGGGAA